ACCCAGGAGGCGGAGGTTGCGGTGAGCCGAGATCGCGCCATTGCACTCCAGCCTGGGTAACATGAGTGAAACTCTGTCTCAAAAAAAAATAAAAATAAAAAAAATAAAAATAAAAAAATAAAATAAATAAATAAAATAAACACGTGTTCTAAAGAATTGGGTTGGGGATATTTTGTCACAACAGCCAGATGAAATGAATAGACCACCAACTCTGATGCTCTCTGATCAGGTTCCTTCCCTATGAGGCTGGGCTGTGGCTGCCCAGTGACCCAGTACACTGGTCCCAGGCCCTGCGGGTGACATCAGCATGTGGGTGTGGGGAAGAACTGGTCTGGGAAGACATGCCTATGGACTCCCTAGTATTCCTCCTCTGGATCCCACCGGGAAGCAATAGCTCACACCAGAGCTAGCTCTAGGCAGTCCTGGGCCCAGGGTTCATTCCCAGGCTGCCTGGGTCACCTGCAATTCTGTCACTCCCCTGTTTGGCACCTACTGTATGTTGGTGCTGAGGACACACATAAACAAATCAAACAGGAGCCTCCAGCCACACAGAAGTCATGTTTCTCTTTGGAACATGCTGGGTGCCCATTCCCAAAATACAGCACTCCTCCCCAGAATAAAGTGAGGCAGGATGGGGGGGTGCAGGGCCTGGGAGGAGACAGAAGCCCCATGTTCAGTCTGCACAGAGGATAGCTGCCATCAACCCCCAATAACAAACCCAGGAAGACTTCTGAGAGGAAGAGGACAGGAGCCCACATGCCACCTTCCCTGGAGGCTGCTATCCGGAAGGCTCAGGCTTCACCTTGAGGCACAAGAAAGGAGGCTGGGTGACAGATGGAGCCCTGGAGGAAGAAGTGCAGGAACTGGCACCAAGATATTAACCAAGGGTGATGGGGACTCTGGTGGCCCGGGAAAGGGGCCAGGATCCCTGTGGCTAAGAAGGAGGTCCAGGACTCCCACTCCCACCGTTTTCTGCCTCTATCTGACTCCTGGGGTGAGCTTGGCCTCTCTGAGTCATGATGACCACAGCTGCACCACAGCATATTGAGAGAATCCTAGAAGCCACAACCCAGGGAAAAGTTGAGGCTCCCAGAGCAGCTGGGGACTTAGGATTGGGGTGGGAGCGAGTCTCTAAGATTCAGGTTCCTCCCCAGCCCTGGCCAGGACACCCTGCTCTCTTTTAAGCTGGAGCCCCAGGCCCAACCAGGTGTGCAGGATGCAACGATATGCCCGGGATCAGCAGGTAGACAGCTGGAGCCCACTCAGGCCCAGCCTGCAGGCAGTAGAAAAGAAACTCCAGACAGCGGAGTGGTGGGTCCCCTGCAATGGGCCAGTTGGAGGGACACGTGACCAGGGAATGATAGCAGCAGCAGCTCTGCCCTCCAAAGATAGGCGGGCCCCTGCCACCTGTAGCCAGTTCAAAAGATGAGTGGGTCAGGACCTTCGGCCTCTGGTGCTGATAAGGGTGCTCCCCCAGGCCTCTGGGGTGAGGATGACTGGGGACACTCCCAGCAGGACCCGTTCAAGGATATCTGTGGAGCTGCCTCTGGCGGGGTACCTGCATGGATGTTTGTCGGGGGTGTTCGCAGCTGGACTCCCACAAGGGATGAGGATTAGGATGCTTCCAACTGCACCCCCACGGAGTCTGGGTTCTGGACCAAGCCCCAGCAGGACCCTTACAGAAGTCATGGTTAGGGCACCCTCCGCCTGTAATCCCAGCACTGGACAGCCACAAGAATGGGGGTCGGGGTGTTACCAGAGGATCCCTGTGGGACGACTGTGGTGGCTGCTCCTTGAGAGGGACCTGCCCCATGGTGACAGTGCCACGGATGCTCGCTTCAGGCTCCAATCTGGAGAAACGGGTAAGTGCCGTGCACCCTGCTAAGGCCCCCAGATGACACGGAGGTGCCAGGCCTGGCTGTAGGACTGCAGCGCGGCTGCACTTACTGTGGGCGCCACAGCCTCCTTGCGCCCCGTACCCACGGGGTCCAGCTGGGGCCAGCCTCTGTGCCCCACGGGCTGTCCGGCTGCTTGTCCAGCATCCCCTTGGTCTCCGCCGGGTCCTCGGGTCCCTCCTCAGCCTCTGCCGGGTCCTCGGGACCCGCCTTGGGCTCCAGCACATCTTCTGCAGTTCCTGGCAGGGCCGCGTCCAGGTCAGGGCCCGTGGGGCGCGGCGTCCAGGCTGGGCTCCAGTGCGCCCCCGGCGTGGGCCTCGGCGGGAACCAGGAGAAGCCGGGCGCTGGGGCGAGCGCCACGAGCTGGGGCCGCGCGGGGCCGGAGGAGGTGGCGTGCGGAATGAGGAAGAAGATGTAGACGCCCGAGACCACAAGTCCCGCGGCCACCAGCACGGCCACCGCCACGGCCGCGTTGAAGACCCAGGCCGGGCTGTCCAGGGTCAGGCGGCGTGACAGCGGGCGGCCCAGGCGCAGAGGCGGCGGGGGCGGCGGGGCGCGCGGGGCCTGCGGGGCGCGGGACTTACGCGGCCCGGGTAGGGGCGGCGGCGGCCGCAGGTAGAGGAGACCTCGGCGCCTGTCGAAGCGCACGGAGCCCTGGCGCGAGGGCGGCGCACGCGCGTCGCGGGGCAGGAGAGCGGACTGCGTGGGCAACGCGGGCAGTCCGCGGCGGGGGGCCAGGCGCGTGGGCGCGCGGCACACCGGGCAGGCCACCGCGTCGCCGCCGCCCGCCGTGGCCAACGATAGGCGCGCCAGGCACTCGAGACAGAAGACGTGGCCACAGTCCAGGCGCTTGGGCAGCTTGAACATGCCGTCGAAGGGCGACACGCAGATGAGGCACTCCACAGGGGAGGCGGGGAGCAGGACGGGGCCGGAGCCTGGGCTGCAGCCTCCCTCCTCCTCTTCCTCGTCCTCGTCTTGGTCCTCCCCTCTGCTCGGGGAGCGGGGTGCAGAGAGCGAGCCTGGGGAGCTGGGACCCGAGCCCTGAAGGGCCCGGGAACGGCGGAGCCAGGGCGGCCGAGGGCAGGGCATCCGGACGGACCTGCGAGGAGAGGGCAGTCAGGTAGGGAAGGAGGGGTGGAGCATGGAGCCGCTTCTGAGACCAGCAGAACTCCAGGGGAAGACTGGGGACTGGACTTTGCAGAGGAGCCCCCAGTAGCAGGACCTTCCCGAGAAGTGTGTGTGTGGCTAGCGTCAAGGAGCAGAAGAGATGGGGAGACCCACGGGGGACCAGTTCCTGAACTGGAAACGGGGAGACAGACTGGAGCTGAACACAGTCACGGGGAGGACACGAGACAGGGATGGAAAGGACCCAACCCACAGAGGCGCAGAAAGGGACCCTTGGAAGAACTCAGCAGACAACCTGGAAGACCATGCAAGACTCCCGTGAACAGACATGGACACCTAGGCAAGGGGAAGGATCCCAGCTGCTGAGAAGCCCAGCACAGGGCCAGGGGCTGTCCAGAGAAATGACAGACCCCAGCCAGGCTGTGGGACCCTACCTACCTGTGGACACCTCCTCCCTCTGGCCAGTGGCGTGTCCCTGCCTGTTCTGACCCGTCTCTGGCCTACCTGCAGCTGGGTTCAAAAGTACCCTCCCAGGAGGAGGGTGCTCATCTGGGGCCACCCATCTAGGTTCCAGATACCCGCTGGACCCGTTTGACTGCCTGCCCCGCCCCCTGGGCCAGCCCCACCAGGGTGAACACCAAGCCTGCCTTGGTGAGATGCTGGGGGTGGTGGAAAGGTGATGGCACAGGGTGGGCGGGCTTGGGCCCACCCCACCCATCAGAACCTGATGAATCTTCTACAGGAGTCACCAGCCTGTGGCCCTGGGTGGGTCCCAACCCATGTCAGCAGCCTGATGACACTGCATTCACACTGGTGGACGGGAACCTGTACAGCCCGTGGAAACTGGGTGTACAGGCCCAGGCTGCAGCCACAACCAGTATGGCTGGGGAGGTAACCAGGAGTGCAACCTACACTCCAAGAGGTGAAACCAGAGGTCTGCAACAGTGTGGCCCAAACACCTGAACTTTCCTTGTCTCTCCAGGGCTACCTCAACAAGCCTCTCAGGATGGCCTTGTAACTACCCAGAACTCACAGGCACCCAAGTCACCCACCCACCCAGACCACAGCGATAATTCATGTCCCAGAAGTTATGGACAATCCCATCTGTCTCATTTCCAATACCCGCTGGGACACTCCAGGCAGCCTGGCCTACCACTAGTGCCCCACCTGCCAGCCCTGGGGTGCCATGATTCTGAGTCAGCAATGCTTCCAGGTCCCCACAGGGCCACACGTCAGGAAGGTGAGCAACTCCCGAAGCCACCAGGGCCATGCCACCCACACCCTCCACTGAAGACAGACAACGGCACAAGTGGGTGGGGCTGCCCCAAAGGGCAGACAGTTTTATTGGGCAGCAGCTGGGAAAATCAGCGGTTGGACTTGGCCACACGCTCCAGCTCGTCCTTCTTCTTGATGGCATAGGAGTTGGAGGAGCCCTGCAAGGAAACAGACAGTTTTAAATCTGAAGGACCCCCACCAAATGCCCCACTTAAGACCCCTCCCACCAGAGTGCCCTCATCCACCTTGGCAGCATTGATGAGCTCATCTGCCAGGCACTCAGCAATGGTCTTGATATTCCGGAAGGCAGCCTCACGAGCGCCTGTGCACAGCAGCCAGATGGCCTGGGGAGACAGCAGGGGTCAGGCTAAAATGACAGGCTTCGGTCCTCCAGCACCCTGGGCCCACCCTCAACAGATGCTGGCAGCCATGCTGTCTCCCATAGGTCCACTGAGACAAGATGTTAGGGGAGACGACATCATGCCAGATTTGTAATCAGAAAGAGGGCCACAAGAGCAAGTGTCCAGAAACACACACATAGAGGCTGATGTTGGGTCCCCAATGACAGGAGATTGAGACCTGCCTCAACAGCAAAATGCTGTATAGCCTGGTGTGATGCTTGCACCTGTAATCCCAACACTTTGGGATGCTGAGGTGAGAGGATCACTTGGGCTGCGAGTCTGAGACCAGCCTGGGCAACCCCATCTCTACAAACAACAGAAAAACCCCTACAACAAAAAATGCAGCCAGGTGTGGTGGCTCACGCCTGAAACCCTAGCACTTTGGGAGGCTGAGGGGGCAGGATCATTTGAGACCTGGTGTTCAAGAACACCCTGTGAAACAGAGAGACCCCATCTCAGTCATTTCTAAAAAAAAATTTTTAAAGGGGGGGGGAAGGCAATATATATGCTCTTAATTGGGACCCCCAATTGACAGCCGGCCACTTTAAGGGACATTCTGGGGACAGATGCATAAATGGAATAATGACTAATCTGATTATTCTATCCCTGTTAAAATCCTTCCGGGGGGATGGGTGACGACGGGGATAGGTCATCCCTGTTTTTAAGATACCTGTTGCATTAAGGGGAAAATTACTGTAATGTCTGCAATTGATTCTTAAACTGCCCAATTAAAAAAAAGTACATTGCACACATAGTGTAAAAATATACACCCAAATGAAAGAAGACCTCAGCCAAATGTGGTCCAGAAGGCCCAGAGTCTGGATCTGCCCCCATGGAGGGTGGGAATCCAGGAAGGCTTCCTAGAGGAAGTGATGTTGCAGGTAAAACATCCAACAGAGACAAGCCTTCCTGCCCCAGGCAGACTCCACCCACTCCTGTGGCTGTGTCCACCCTCCCACGTGCATAAGCCCTCTGCTCACCTGATTCACCCTGCGCAGTGGGGACACGTCCACAGCCTGTCGTCTCACAGTTCCGGCTCGCCCAATGCGTGTGGAGTCCTCCCGGGGACCACTGTTGATGATGGCGTTTACCAGGACCTGCAGAGGGTTCTAGAGAGAAGGGGGCTCTGAGCCCGACATCCAGCCCCATGCATTCCTCCCCCATTCTCACCCCTAAAACAAGAGTGAGCACACCACACAGCGGATAAGCCTGGCATACACACCACGGGGCTTTGGGGTGTACTGAAGGCACAGCTGCCATCAGAGCCCTACCTCGCCTGTGAGCAGGTGGATGATCTCGAAGGCGTGCTTGACGATGCGTACAGTCATGAGCTTCTTGCCATTGTTGCGGCCATGCATCATCATGGAGTTGGTGAGGCGCTCCACGATGGGGCACTGAGCTTTGCGGAAGCGTTTCGCGGCATACCTCCCTGCACTGTGAGGCAGGTACTTGGCATACTTCTCCTTCACTGCAATGTAATCCTGGGGCAGCAGAGAGCAGAAAATAAAGGGAAAATGGTCAGGAGCATCATGGGCCTTGGCCAGGAATCAGAGGAGGAAACAAGAACCCATTTGAGGTAGTCCGACAGCTGTCTGGGATCCTGCTATGCCTTTCCAGGGGACTTGGATGTGAGCCCCATGCACCATGAGGAAAAAACCTGGAACAGGTGACTTTACTAAGTCACCAAAAAGGATACTTACTTCATAATGAATGAAAGAGAGTAGGAATCTAAGGAGACTAGAGCCCATGATTCCAGTTTTCTAAAACGGCATTCCTCTAATTCTGCACTATAGGACATTTTGGACCACATTGTTTGAAGGGTTGTCTTGCATACTATAGGATGTTTAATAGCATCTGTTATGCAACTGGCAACCCCTTCAATTTTTTTTTTTTGAGGGAGAGTCTAGCTCTGTTGCCTAGACTGGAGTGCAGTGGTGCAATTTTGGCCCACTACAACCTCCACCTCCTGGGTTCAAGTGATTCTCCTGCCTCAGCCTCCAGAGTAGGTGGGACTACAGGTGCATGCCACCGCACCCGGTTAATTTTTTGTATTTTTAGTAGAGACAGGGTTTCACTGTGTTAACCAGGTCAGTCTCAATCTCCTGACCTCGTGATCTGCCCACCTCAGCCTCCCATGCTGGGATTACAGTCGTAAGCCACCATGCCTAGCCCAAATTTTTTTCCCCCCTCAAGACTGACTCTTGCTCTGTCACCCAGGCTGGAGTGCAAAGGTGCAATCTTGGCTCACTGCAACCTCCACCTCCTGGGTTCAAGAAATTCCCCTGCCTCAGCATCCCGAGTGGTGGCATTACAGGCAAACGCCACCATGTCAGGCTAAATTTTTGTATTTTCAGTAGAAATGAGGTTTCTCCATATTGTCCAGGCTGATCTTGAACTCCCGACCTCAGGTGATCTGCCTGCCTTGGCCTCCCAAAGTGCTAGGATTACAGGCATGAGCCACTGGGCTGGGCCTCCAGCCTGTTTTTTTTTGAGATGGAGTCTTGCTCTGTTGCCCAGGCCTGATTGTAGTGGTATGATCTTGGCTCACTGCAACCTCCACCTCCCTGGTTCAAGTGATACTCTTGCCTCAGCTTCCCAAGTAGCTGGTAATGTGTCACAACGCCTTACTGATTTTTTGTACTTTCATTAGAGATGGGGTTTCACTATATTGGTCAGGCTGGTCTTGAACTCTTGATCTCAAGTGACCCATCCACCTCAGCCTTCCAAAGTGTTGAGATTACAGGCATGAGCCACTGTGCCTAGCCCAATCACCTTCGGTTTTGACATGTAAAAATAGACATTGCTAAGTATCCCCTAAGACAGGGGAACCACCACCACAGAGTGAGAAAGTTTTTTGGTTTAGTTTTTTGAGACAGTCTCACTCTGTCTCCCAGGCTGGAGTGAAGTGGCGCGATCTAGGCTCACCGAAACCACTGCCTTCCAGGTTCAAGCGATTCTCCTGCCTCAGCCTCCCCAGTATCTAGAACTACAGGTACACGACACCATGACTGGCTAATTTTTTATTTTTAGTAGGGATGGGGTTTTGCCATGTCGGCCAGGCTGGTGTCAAACTCCTGACCTCAGGTGATCCGCCCCCCTGAGCCTCCCAAAGTGATGGGATTACGGGCGTGAGCCACCATTTGTTTTTGAGACAGAGTCTCGCTCTATCACCCAGGCTGGAGTGCAATGGCACCATCTTGGCTCACCACAACCTCTGCCACCTAGGTTCAAGCTATTCTCCTGCCTCAGCCTCCTGAGTAGCTGGGATTACAGGTGCATGCCACCATGCCCAGCTCAGTTATTATTATTATTTTTTTGAGATGGAGTTTCACTCTCGCTGTCCAGACTGGACAAGTCCCAAGCAGCTGGAACTACAGGCATGCGCCACCACATGTGACTAATTTTTTTGTAGTTTACGAGATGGAGTTTCACCATGTTGGTCAAGCGGGTCTTGAACTCCCGACTTCAGGTGATCCACCCACCTCAGCCTCCCAAAGTGCTGGGATTAGAGGCATGAGCCACCATGCCTGGCCCAGAACAACAGCTGCCTTCCTATACTATACAGACATAGCCATCCCTCCACGAAAATGTAAAAAATGCCAAAAAGTTAACCTTGCATGTGTAAAAGGGAAGAATGAGGGGAGCTATGTGTATTCAAAGGAGACTGCTGTTGACAGTTCCATTACAAAATGTCCCCAAGGCCATCCTTTCACTTGCCTCTGAGAATAGACACAATTACCTGTTTCTACAAATACAAGGAATGTTTGAAAAAGAACACACGACACCAAAACTTACACTCCTATTTCACAGTCTGGCTGCAAGAAACACACCCCCTCCACCCAAAAAAAAAAAAAAAAAACCTCACAGTCCACTGTCTACCCCAAGAGAAGCACCTGCACAAACAGACAAAGAAAGGCATTCATGGAGGGTTTTCAATATGCAGCAAAAAATTCCAAACACCAAATTTCCCAGCAAGGGTTTGGCCCAACAGTGGAACCCTGCACAGGTGTTTAAATCACAGTGAACTCCCATCAATGTTTATTTCCCTAGCAGAACAGGCACTTAATAACGTTTAGTAGAACAAGGGATAGGGAACAATAATACATATTTTAAGTGCATTTCACAAAAGTTTTAAAAAGAAAAGTAACACATAAAAATGAATAACAGAGGCCAGGTGCGGTGGCTCAAGCCTGTAATTCCAGCACTTTGCAAGGCTGAGGCGGGTGGACTACCTGAGGTCAGGAGTTTGAGACTAGCCTGCCCAACATGGTGAAACCCATTCTGTATTAAAAATACAAAAATTAGCCAGGCGCGGTGGCTCAAGCCTGTAATCCCAGCACTTTGGGAGGCCGAGACGGGTGGATCACAAGGTCAGGTATTTAAGACCAGCCTGACCAACATGGTGAAACCCCGTTTCTTTAAAAACAAAAACAAACAAACAAAAAAAAATTAGCCCGGCATGGTGGCATGTACCTGTGGTCCCAGCTACTA